TGTGTTCTGATCAGCAGCTACACGGATAAGAGTAACAAACAAAACACCAGCTACATCACCGTCCTTTTATTGCTTTATTCCAAGTGAGCAAAGTGGATCAAACACATAAATATGAATACAGAGTGGAAGAGCAACACCTGACAACAAACCCACATACTTTATATCATGTATATTAGGGGTGCGTCATATCATAATAAACAAGTGATAATGGAAATATTCCATCTTGACGTAATGATGTTATTCCGTTACACACTGCAACAACAAGCTTGGCTGAAAGCGAAAGTAACATTGCTGTTGTTGCAAAAAGGCGACTTCAGTAGTGTTGAAGAGGTTTGACAACAAACAATCAGATGTACAACAAATTAATATGTAAAAAGTGCAAGAACACACAACAAAAATCAGATCTAATGGAGATGATGGTGAAGAACATTGTTTTACATAGATGTTCCACTGGGCTTCGACCTGGTGAGTAGTGATGGGCAAAGCTGTCCTTTTCAGGGTATGGAATCATTAGTATTAGTTCATTAAAAATATTTGTTCAAAAGACGTGTTCACTGAGTTATTTAGTGCTCGACTGGAGCTCTGACATTGTACTCCCATTCACTGAACTAAAACAAGGCCGAACGTTCAGTTCAGCGTGCTTACTAGCGAACTGAGGATGGTCCTTCGTGAAAGATAAGCCAGGGAACTGAGAATCTGACAAGAATAATGGGACTATAATACAGTATGTACCAAGCACAATAGCCAAATCATTGGCAACAACAGGGGCAAGTTTTGAAACTTAGTCATTGTATTGGCACTATTATTGATATTTTTCAAATGATACTCAGCCTTACTAGCAAGCAAACATTCCACCAATGTCAGATAACTAGTAACAAGCAACAGAGAGTGGATGACAGCTTTTACCGCTAGAATACAATAAACAACATAGCAGAACCAATACTGGATTTTTGAGGGTGATGACAATATTTGTCAGTTAAAAAATCCAATAACAATATATCAGATGATGAGATGTCACTTTTTAACATAAACATTTTATGTTTCAGTTCCTGAATCATATCTTTGGCATATCTGTACTGACATTACTTGATACAAATACACAACAAATATACTGATACTGATGTATCTGCAATTAGCTAATATGGGACAGTATGTAATCCGCCTGGTAGAAAGAAGCCTAATCTTCTGCCATCAGGGTGGCTGTGCCCACAATATCTTCGCTTTTCATGTCTCATCATTTGGCACACTACCAAACAACTTAATAATTGTTTCTATCATTAACAGCTATTCCAATAGTGTTTACATGTTTAGGGCCATTGTGCATCCTGTTCTTTGTGAACCATTATTCTTTATATACATTAATACAGTCCTGTCTGCAATCTCAACACAATTAAGCTTTGGTACAATAAAAATATAAAGACTGATTGTTTTTGAACAGATAAGCAGCACATATTTTAACAAACAACATAAAATAGACAAGTCAGCTCATTGTCCGCTTTAATGAGTTTGGTGTAAACTCCGTCCTTGCTGCTGTATAGCACAACACTGGACTTCCTTTAGAATCGCTTGTTGTTGACAGGATTGCTGGCATCCAAAGTCCACAGGGCAAAATCAATCCCACTGTCCTCTGTGGCAGCCACACTCTGGCTGACCTGAACAAACAGTTCCACTGGAAGGATCAAAATCAGCTCAGTCGTTTAGCAGACTTCAGACGGCAACTGAACGACTTGTCTCAATGGACCAGCAGACAGTACGCAACTCACAGTAGTTCTTATGCAGCTTTAGATGTAGCTCACTTTTTATAGTTCCTTGTCAGCACATCATCTCTTCTTCTTCTTCTGGTGACGTAGCATCTTGCTCCTCTTTGTGATCATGGCGTGCAGCTTCTCGACACCTTCCTGCAGTCCCTCACCGATGATAGCACAAGCAGGCTGAAGGTGCCAGGATGTAGCGGTGCTGAGCTCGCCCAGAGCCAGCATGCTTTCCATCTCAGCTAGGCTGAGCGAGTTCCTCAGGTCCTGTTTGTTTGCCACCACCAGAACTGGCACGCCCTGGTTGTCCACCAGCCGCGTGATCTTGTGCAGCTCTATCTTGGCCTCCTCAATGCGCTCAGCATCCACTGAGTCCACCACGAACACAATACCATCAGCACAACGTGTGTAAGAGCGCCAGAGAGGCCGTAGTTTCTCCTGACCACCCACATCCCAGAAGTGGAAGGATACTGTCCGCTGGCTGCCTCTGAGTGACACTTTGATCTTCTCTGTGTTAAAACCCTTAGTTGGGACAGTGTTCACAAACTCATTGAAACGCAGGCGGTACAGTACAGTGGTCTTCCCAGCACAGTCCAGTCCTAGGATGACAATGTGGAGAGGTTGGAAGGATGGCAGGCAGGGGAAGAGCCAGTGATGATGATCTGATAACCTGTTCCCCATGTTGGTATACAGAGCAGGAAGAGTCCTCACTGGGGGGGTCAACACAGTATGCATAATGAGTCAAAGCACACAGACAACCAGAACTCCGTTGATTTACAAAAGACCAGTAAGTGAATATATACCACCCCCCACCCACATCCTCACATAATGTGCCAGCCAGAAATGAATGAGAAATATAACAGCAGAGCCATTTTACACATGTAGTGCCACAGCAGCCAACAGAGATTTCATATGCTAATTTCTTTTCAGTGTGTGAATCTGCAACAACAGGCCGACGGCTTCTGAATTTTACCAAAATCCCAGTCTCAACCTATCATCCAGTGTTCGGCGCCGGGACAGACCAAAGGAGGGCTGTTTTAACAGCCAGCAGACTGACATGGAAATCTAGCTTTAAAAAAGGTGTTGCTCGGCAACATGGACTGTCTTATGTTGGGCTGAAAGGACAAGGCAAATTTCTGTGAACTGTAAATTAATAAAGCCTTGCTCATTAGCAGACACACACAAATCACAATTTAACAGCCGCAACCAATGAAAAAGATCCTGATAAATTCGGCATAACGTTACATTTGGACTATTCGTGCATTAAAGTGCAATAAAATCGCGACGTTTATAATTGGTTTACATCCGCTCCTGCCTTGCCCACTGCATAATGGTGGAGGGAGAGGAGGACACATTAACAGGTGAACTGTCACAAAAAAAAGTGGAAATTTAATTGAAATTCATTGCTATTTGGTATATTAGATCTGACAAGAATTGAATAGCGGCCACTAAGCACTCAGGAAATAACTAACGTTATTCATATTAAATACGACAGATAAAGCTAGCTTAACATCTAACGTTAAGCAGTCAAAGCTGCGTTCATTTGGGAACTTTTTAAATTGAGCCTGGCTTGCAGTTTGCTCTCGGTCCCTTGCAAGACCAGACCAGGCTCGACTGAAGGCTGTGATGCCAACAAGTGTTGAAAAATCACGAAAGTTAAATTGGCTTTATTGGGCCCAGTGTGCCTGACAGCCAGGCCTGCACCTTTAAATATAACGATCATTAAACGCAATGTTAACTTCCATGAAAACACACAGAATGGCTAACGTTATATTAACAAGATTTGTTTAACTGAGGAGTAATTTATCTCAGCTGCTTGTAACGTTAAATGCCATTTTGACAGCAGTTATGTCGGTGTGTTTTACACTGAAAAGCATTATTAACTTACCGTCAGAGAAAACGTAACGTTACCTTCACAGTGTTAGTCCATTCCAGTCTGTCAGTACGTCCATAGCAGATGCGTTTGTGCTTCGTGCTCTGATCACGTCCTCAGACCCAGTGAGACAGCTAGAGGAAGGACTCACTCCATGTCCATTCCTAAACGGCGCCCATGACTGCGCCAAGCCAGACAGAATAAACTAAACGATTTCCGCTAATGTTTTTCAAAATAAAGCCCCTACGCTACTAAGCAACTCTTCTTCAAATATCTTCCTTTTTTAAAATACTTTACTAATGTTTCAAAGCAACAGAAAACCAAGTAGTCAGGCCCGGATTAAGAAGTCAGAGGCCCCACCCGCTTACCGATACACACACACGCGCGCGCGCGCGCACAATCAAGGTTTTGAATTATAGGGTAGCCTATTATTTGTGGGAAACACCTCTAGCATATACAGGACCAGTTTATCGGCTGGGCGATATTATCGGCCGATATGAGGTAATTGAATTTAAATTGGTTTGTAACAGCTGATTATTGACTATTAAAAAAGAAACAGAGAGACAGATCTTTTAATCATGTCATGACTGTTGCAGTTTCACCAGATGGCGCTCTACAACTCCCCTGTTGATAACAGCCAAACCAAAGCAATCAGCTGACCAGAGTCCAGCAGATCATACAGAACTAACAAGGAGTTCAATAAAGCTCATTTGAATTTGAATTTGTATCTGCGAGCTGCGTGTCTGTTACAGTCAGTGCATCGGAAATTTCAATAATCATGAGCTGAACAAGAATCTAACACGGCTTCCTGCCAAACAAAGTTATCTAGCTTCTCTGTCAAATGGGCAACGTTAGTGTGAAATCTCAAAGTTGCAGACAGTAATGTAGTGGTTGAGAAATGGTTTCTCGTAGCTTTGTATAAAATTAAAGAGCACTGGTAAAGGTACAAAGCATTACAAAACGAAATTTGTAGTTCCTTCTTGTAACAACCAACATATAATTAAGTGTAGGCCTATAATAAAATATGCTAAAAATAAAACAATATATACAGTTATTTATATACATATATATACAGAGGCCTACAAGTAGGCCTATAGGCCACACCTGAACATTCCACAGTGCATTTTTTGAGTTTGCATCTGGGGTGAATGGAAACAGCAGCAACCAGATGATAATATGAACGTTTCATCTTCACAATAAACAGTCTGACATTTGGGAAACAGAGTCCACCTTGACTGAGTTTGAGCACCAAGCATCATTGATGTAAAACACAGAGTCCACTTCCTCTCAACTTTCCAGAGTCTTGCGCTGACAGCTTAGAACATGGACCACCTGCTGAGTGCTTGAACCGGGATGTTAGGGCAGGTCTCTGTAACGATGTGGGCACAACCGTCTCTGAATTCCGTTGCTTGGTGAACATGAGTCCCATTTTGTCCATACCGAATATTTAGGAGCAGAATTAAGTCCAAGCTGGGACGGCATGACTCCTCTCCTCTCCTGGCTCTCTTTCCTCCCCTCTGAGCGATCCCCGCACCTGCCGTGGTGTCTGGTCCGGTTGTTTAGTATAGCACAGTTTGAAGGAGCTACCGGCTGCTGCTTCTACAAGCGCTGCCGGTTGCCATAGCAACATGCTACATTGAGAGTTGTTATTATGGCAGATTATGTGTAAGATAAAATACATCTGCTTATTCTCTCTCGCTTTCTCTGCGTGTTCTAGCAGCAAGTATTTATTGATGTGCCGTTTTTTACATGTTCATCTGTTAAGACTGTAATCTAAGGCTTTTTTACCATAATCCATTCAGGAAAATGTATTAAAGCCCACATACCAGCTTTCAGTATCTGCCTGTTCTAAATAGCAGTTTGTTTATATAGGATTTTACTATCCAAATAATTTTCAAAATCAAAATATCAGCTTATAAATCATCTCTTTTTCACTTTAATACCAGTATCGACCCCCAAAGACCCATATTGGTTGGGCTCTACAGGATCAACACATGTACACATCCTCCATCATACAGGATTTACACCACATGTTTGCAACACTGCTTTTCTGGACCAGCAGCAACAATATCAAAACATTCCCCTGCATACTATAACTCACTGGCACATTGCCTCACTTCTACTAATCCAATTTTATGAATCAGAATCTTCTGCTTTATGTCAAGAATTCCACGAGAAAGTTCAAAAAGTAGATCCTTCGTTAATCTACTGTTTCCAAGGTAAAGAATAAACTTATCCCTCCCTATACAAATTATAAAAAACACAGAATTAATACATTGATAAACAATTAAATAAAATGAAAGATCCAAAAAATCATTCCAAACACACCCTTTGAGAAGGTTTGGGGTTTAGATTTCATGGGAAATCCAATTGCTCAAAGGGAATTTTCCTTAAATGATAACTTTTTCATATGAGACATATTAAATTACATTGATACAAGAGTGGAATAGCTACAGTTTAGCACAAAAGTATTACCATATTTTGATTCATGATGATGTGAATTTTAATTTTACCAATAGGTTTCATCTGGCTGGATATGACATGAACAAGTGACAAATACAGTAAGATATTGTGTTAGAGATGTTAATGATAAATCCTAACTATTTCTGTTTTTTTTATTTGTATTAAAAATGCCATTTCCAAAATTATTCATTGAAATTATTGCAATTTTCTATCCTATTTCAAATGGTCTATGTAGTGGTTATTTGTCCATAAACTTAAACAAAAACAAATAATAACAAACTTCTCAAATGGCCACTTGAGGCTACGTCATGGTTAGGCTTTACGCAGGTTCAGAGGTACCAAAGCAAGGTAATGTCCATAACAAGATTGAGTTTGAGGAGGTTTATTCACACACATAAGCAAGCTCACAGACATTTCTGCTGCCTCTCTCACGCTGGTAAAAAACCATATGCCCTCGTACCTGAAGTACCTCCCACCTTGACCTACTTATGCAAATGAACATAACACCATGTGACCAACAAACGACAATACAAGTAAAGCATAAATACAAAATAAACCAAATTAACTTTAACAAGAAAAGAAAAGAAATAAATTAGGCTATAAATTAACTTAAGCCCAAAATAAACAAAAATAAAAATATAGCTCCAACAGTCTATATCATTTTAAGTGGTCAAAGAGCATTCTAATCACCTATAAATCACCTATAAATTGAAAACAGCTGAAGCAGTAGTTCTCTAGACAGTTACTAGTCAACTGCAAGAGCTTACTGAGGACCTCCGGTTACGCATTGTGGCTGCTCACAGGGAAAGGTTGATAAAGCCATATCCAAGTGTGTTCAGGTGCCAGTGACCACAGTGCAATACAAAAAGTACAAGGAGTTGTACTTCCACACTGTGAGAAACCTCAAAGGCCGTGGTAGGAAGCCAAAAGTGACCCCTGCCCTGGTAAGAACAGAAGTGTGAGAGGCCAAGAAGAATCCAAGGATCACCACCAAGGCCATCCTGAAGAATCTGAGCAACTCTGGTACCAACATCTCAAGGCAGACAATCCAGCGGACACTGCACATGGCTGGTCTCTATGGACGCCGACAAGCAAATGTCAATGTAACACGAAACATATAGGCAAAGTGGTCAAGAAATGGTTAACAGACAAGAATATTTTGGAGTGGCCCAGCCAGTCCAGAGCTGAATCCCATTGAGAATCTTTGGAGGGAACTAAAGACCTGAGATGGCAAGGAGGCTTTCCAGCCTCAAAGACCTGGAGATTATCGCTAAAGAGGAGTGGTGTAAAATCCCAGTGGAGACATGCAAAAAGCTTGTTAATAATTATAAGAACCGTTTAATTGCTGTGATGGCTTTGCCATTGATTACTGAGAAACTTTTTTGGGGTATTAATAATTTTGGGCATGGCATTTTAGTACAAATTAAAAAAAAAAACATAGTTAAGATTAACATCTCTGACACAATATCTTACTGTCTTTGTCATTTGTTTATGTAATTTCCAGCCAGATCAAACCTACTGGTAAAATGAAAATTCACTATGAATCAAAATTTGGCATGGGTATGAATACTTCCAATAGGACTACACTTAGTGAGTGCTGTTATAGCTACTCTAAAATGTTTTAATATTGTTGGTAAAGGCTTTATGCTGAGAGGTATCCTCAAAATGAACAAAGAAGGTTCTTAGGGAAGATTTTCTCCTGGTTTTGACAAGGTTTCAACAACACTTTTCTTTAAAGAGATCAAATTTCCCACTTTTGCTTTAAATCAGAAAAAACTTGAAAATACTCCTGTGGTGTCAGATTGTACTGTATTGTTAAGTTGTTAATTCTAGTTTAATGCCATGTATAACCTAATTAGTCCACATTTTCTTTTGGTGGACTCACTTTTATTGTGAAGGAATGGTGATGAGTTTTCCGGACTCATTCTGCTTTAGTTGACTTGCCCTGTTTTGTGGTCTGATTGGCAGAATGTGCACAGACATGGTCACGCTTGTCACCTGTTTCTGTCACTCAAACTAAGGCAACATCCAAAGAAAGCGCTGGACTGAACTGAGACCACAAGCCAATTGTTTTCTTTTCTAATTGTCTAATTTATTTCTGTAACAGATTTTTTTTCTTTCTTAATTTTTATGAATAGGCTAGTACTTCTCTTCACTTTGGTCTAGATAGGCCTACATTACACACACCAGAACATCATTTGATAGCATTTTTTACCTTAGGCGTTGGATCTTGCTTGCTCTCACAACCTTTTCCATTCAGTTACAGCACAGGGCAGGTGCTCTGTGAGCCATTTCTGAACATATATGTTAAAATAAATGTTGCTTGATTGATTGAAGGGAACTGTCTATCAGCAGTTTTGGCTGATTGGTCGGCCACAGCAGATATTGGCGGGGCTGAGTGGCCAAGCTTCTTCCTAGTAGCACAGGACTAACTCAGTACAGAAGTATAGTTCTAAGTATGTTGTCTAGGTGTATATTGCAACACTGTTTGACAGTCCTTTCTGGGGAGTCCTATTTCCCATATTGATGGCACAGTTAACCCTTGTCTCACAACTCAAACAACTGAATGATATTGGCCAGTTAAAAGGCAGTGTAAAGACTTGCATGAGTACATTTTTGATTTGATCATTGAAGTACTTTTTCAACTACACCAAATATTCCTGCCACATTAAAAACACCTAAATGCTAAATAGGGGAGTTAAAGGAAGGTGTTACCCAAACAGGAACTTACACCACTCTTTATATTGGCTTTTAACTGGCTAATAGGGCATAGTTGAAGTCTAACACTCAATTGTTTCTGCTGTAAAAAAAGAGGCATACTGTGCCATCAACACAGGAAATAAACTGTTCTACAGAAATGACAGCTCTAAAGGAATAGCTCAGCATCTTGGGAAAATGATCCTTCCCTTTC